ATGGGCTCCAGCTCTATCCAGGATAATACAAGAGGTGCTAGATCACCATTGTTTTTTGTGGCTGAGTAGAACTCCATTGTATACATATACCATATTTTATTAATCCACTCATGTATTGATGGGCACTTGGGCTGTTTCCACATTTTTGCAGTTGTGAATTGTGCTGCTATAAACATTTTAGTGCAGATGTCTTTTTTTAACAGAATGTCTTTTTTTCCTTTGGGTAGAACCAATATTTTCAATCATGTCCTCATCATTTTCTCTTTGGAAATTTTCTTTATACCAAACTAATACATATTAAGGAAAACACAGCAAGCAGGTAAATGTTTAATTTAGGGCCTTTCCAAAAAGCAGTGGGATGCCTTCTTTTGCTTTCATTCTCTTTTTTGATAAATCCTTGGGTTTAAAAAAATTTTTACAAAAAGGTGTTTCTATTCTCTGATTAGTCAGAACACATCAACAGATTTATTTTCCCTTAAAATTGGTCAGAGATAAATACTTGTATTTGTTAACACTGTTTAAAAAAAAAACCCAACCAGCTAACTTTTTCAAAATAGTAAACATTTTGGAGAAGCAAATGAATGTTTTATTCCACAAATATTTACGGAGCAGCTGCTGTGCGCTGAGGCACTGCGCTAAGTGCTGTGGGTGAAGCAAATACCACTGGGTCATTGACTCTGCTCGAGGTGCTGACAAGGCTCAGTGGGGAGCTAAGGCAAGCATGTAAACATCACAAAATAAGGTGGAAAGGGATTAAATGCTCTCAGAGAGGAAACTCTCAAATACTATACTATAGGAGCTCGGAGAAGGGAAAAATCGTTTCCTGCAAGTGGTGTGGGAAGGGAAAATCAGAGAAGGCTTCATGACAGCAGTGGATTTGTGCTAGATCTGGAGGGAAAGTGACATTTTGACCAGTGCAGACTAGGAGCTGCGTCTGTGTGGGGATGAGGGCGGGCTTTTAGGGGAGGCTTGTAAAGGTAAAGAGTGGATCATTGTCAGGTAAAGAGGAAATTCAAGCATGAGGGTAGGTGAAAGAGAAATTAGAAGGGTGAGGAAGCAGGTAGGCAGCAGATTACAAAGGATGTTAAGGTCAAGTGATCACACTCTATTTTGTGGATAAATGGGAAACGAGGAAAGACTTTGAGCAGAGGAGTAGTATGATCAATCGCATGCTTCAGGAAGATTACTTTAACATCAGTGGGGACAGATGGAGAGCAAGGATGGCAATCTAGCGAAGGGAAAACTGATCAGGAGTCTATCACATAGTACAAATAAGAGGTAATGAAAACAGGAATTAAGCAGTATTCATGGGGATGGAAAGAAGAGTATGGATGCAAAAAAAATTGTACATCGTATACAGCACTTATGAAAAATATGGTATAAAGCCTTACCTGATTCTTCCGTATCTTGTTCATCTATTAAACCTACTGAGACGCCTAAATCCACACATTTCTTGCTATGTGCCTTGGACTTCATGTGTTTTGTCAGATTTCCTTAAGGGAAAAGAATGTTTACTAAGCTTACATAGTATTATTTTGCTATTGCGTTTGTCAAAACTGGCATTCCATCCCTATGTCAAGCAAAAGTACAGTTTGTGGTCATACAATTCCAATGACTAAAATTTGGACAAAAGAAAATATTGGTATCTATATAATAACCTTGTTATTTATTAGTAATAATTTCTTTTTCAAATCTGCCTCCTCTACTTTGATATCTACTTTTTGCCTTATAGTTTCTACTCTCTAGTCCTTATTTATCTCTTAGAACATTTTATGCATACTTAATTTAAAGGCCCTTTCAGACTGCACTGTGATCTGTAGTTCACAGAGTGTGAATTTTCTACTAGCTACGTCTGCCGATCTGCAGGCTCTCCCTCATAGTAGTTTGTTTCCTTGCATGCTTTTTAGTTTTAATTGTAAGCTTATCTTCAGCAAGATTGTTTTCCATGGAGTCCTAAGTACCCTGAGTTGTAGAAACATCTCTATAAAGCAGTTTCCCAATTGCTTCTGCCTGGGACCGTCACAGTTTCATAGGTTTCAGATCACTGATTCTGAACCAGTTTTCTTGTTTTGTTTTGTTTTGTTTTGACATGGCACAGGTATACAGCTTTGCTTTTAAGCAGACAGCTTATTTCCCACAAGGCCCAAAGTCACCAGACAAGAGAGCTAGGCTTATTTCACGGGCCTGTCGCGGGATAGGCATTAAAATGCCAGGCCTGTAGGCATACATCTGGTTTTGATTCCCCTAAGGACTTTTAAATTTTTTTAGTATCTGCTCACCATGCCATTATAATTTTGAGTTTCTTCTTTATTTCTGGTACCTTGGAATTTACCTTTTTAAATTTCAGATCTGACTATTGATGAAAACTATTTTTGGTCATTGTAATATTATAAACACTATTTCCGGGTGTCTGGAACAGGAGAAAGAATTTCCTGCATAAATTTTACTTTATCTATTGACTAGAAGTCTCATAATAATATCACTGAAGAAGTGCTTCCTCTGTCAGCTGTTGTACTGACCTCGGTAAGTATTATTAGACTGAGGACCACTGGGCATATTGTCCCAGTGATCATGAATGCAGGGGGACAGCTCAGCTTCTTCTGAGGACACCAAGCATCTTCAGTGGAAAATGCCAGACAAAAGCATATTGCCGACAAGGCCAAATCATCTCTTTTGGGAAAACAAAAACAACTCTAAATACTGTGTTTGCTGGACAGCAGCAAACTAGCATTTGAGCATAAGCCTTTAGAAGAGCTCGAAATGTCTCAATCATTGGTCCAAATTTGGGGCTTGCAATAGCTGAAGCACATGCAGAATTGCTATATTTATGGAGCTTCGATTCCTTAATAAATGCACGAAGGCTGTGAAACTGGTCACACCTGTACAAGCTGATTCTCGCACTAGATAGTATGTTGTTGTGTGAGCCAACCACAAGAGCATCCTGGAACTTAGTGCTTAAGGAGTTCAAGTGTAATAGGCTGCCTAGACCAGATGATATCTAAGGTCCATCAAACCCTGACTTCTGTGTTCTGGAGATAATGCCTGCCTTAACACTTGGCTATATTTGATATTTATGCTAATTATACTTATAAAACGTGAAGCAGATCTGGCAAAATGTTAACAATTAATAAAAGATTATAGGCACATTGGTGTTTATTATACAAATCTCTGCTTTTCTATAAGAGCTTCAAAGTTTTCACATTAAAAAGTTACAAAAATGGTTTAGCCATTTTAATATAGCTGAAAATTTTACTTGTAAGTCAAAATGTTTTCAATATAACAATATTACAAACTGAATTGTAAGGTCTACTAATGGTTCTTTCAAAATGCTTGTTTCCTATATAGACAGCCACAGCAAGTTATTCATTTACTTTCTAAGAAATTAATATATTTATATTGTAGCTAGGCAAATTTTGGAATATAAGTTTTTCATAAGCATATTTTCTTGACTTGAGCTATTACTTATTGCCAAA